CCATCTCAGCTTGGCGGGCGGGGTGGAGGGGGGTGGGGGAAGACAATAGAGAAATATGCCAGCTGAGGAGGAAGGGGGAAACAATAGAGAAATGCACCAGCTCAGCCTCGGGAGGAGGGGGAAACAATAGAGATGGGGCAGCTCAGCCTAGGGGGAAGGGTGAAACAATAGAGGAACGTACCAACTTGGCCTGGAGAACAATAAAGGGGGAGAAGCCAGAGAGAAGCACACGAGCTGGAGAAGGTGGTAGTGGGAGAGAAACCAGGGACATGCAGCAGCCTTCAGGGAAAGGGGTGGTGATGAGGCAGACTGGGGTGGGCAAGGGGGAGCATGCAGTGGAGTTAGACTGTTCCTCCCAGCGGGGATGAAGCAGTCGGGTTCCAAAGAGCACCTCTTGGGTATCGAAATATCCATTTCTGGAGTTGCCAGTGCTTGGCATTAGAGAAATCTCAGCTCCTCCGGCACAAATGGGTTTAATACCAGCTCTGTCTGCTGGAGGGATATTCTTCCCCTCAGCCATGTCTTACCCCAGCAAGGCAACAGTAACTGGGGGTGTGGAAACCACAATCTCATCTGACAAGGATGGGAAGAGGCAGGCCAGTTAGATCCTGGGAAATATGGCTTAGTAGCTTCTGCAGAGGTTGCTTCCCTGGGTGCTTGGGAGTGACTGGAGTATTTCCATAAACAGTGACTGGTGCTGGGCAGGGGGAGCAGGGCCCCTTTCAGCCCCCTGACTGCTAACACTGCAGCAGAGCCAGCTGGCGGGTTCCATGGGAGCCACAGGGCCCTAACCTGCTACCTGCAGGTGCCTGCTCTCCTTGCGGCTGGGTTTCAGGCTGCTGAATCCAGCCCTGGAGTAATTTCTGTTCCTAGCACATGGAGACTCTTCCCATCCCCAGCAGAGCCTCCCATCTCCCCAAGCCCAGCCTATTCCCAGCATGGCCAAGCCCCCTTCAGCTCCCCCCAGCAGGAGCTCCCACCTGGCATAGGTGGGTGTGATGGCGTAGATGATGGGCAGTGCCTGTCCCTCCAGCTCTGGGCCCTTTCCTCGTGCCTGCAGCCGCTTCACCTCACTCAGCAGCTGGGAGATCTTCTTGTCCTTGCCATGCATGAGGTCACTGGCTGATCTCAGGTGCTGGGAGCAGTCGCAGGGCTGACCTGGAGCCAGGCAGAGGAGGCAGACAGGTCAGAGAAGGGAGACCCTCTGGGTTGCAGCTAGCCCACCCCTCCCTAGGGGAAGACTGGGCCCAACAGCCTGGTCCCCAAAGTGTTCCCTGCCTGACTTGAAATCCGTTGAGTAACGGTGTTCCCAGCCCTTCCTCATCTCCCTACTGGGAAGCAGCGGGGCTCCCAGCCAGACCCATTCCCATCAGGGAGCTGCGTGGCTCCCAGCCTCTCCCCTGGGAACGATTCCCCAGCTGGACCCAGCCATAGTCAGGGAGCAACCAGGCTCCCATCCCTTCTTCCAAACCAGTATGCTCCCTCCTAACCCACCGTCTGACCCTTGAGTATTCCTGTGACTCCCCGAGTTTCCTGAGACAGGGTCTGTGCTCTTCCCTCCAGTCTAATCCCTCACTCCGCACCTCTGGCTGAACTCCTGGCTCTTTACGCAGCTATCCAGTGGAGCTGGGGCAGGGGCTAGCATCCAGTAGGACAGGGGCTGGCACTGGTACCCAGACAGGCTCCCCTCTCTGTCTGTCTGTCTCACTAGGGGGAGAGAGGATGTTCAGGGGCCAGTGACTGCTGGCACCATGCTCTGGTGGGGATCGAGAACAGCTCCTGGCCCAACAGCGCTGTCCGGGCCCATGAACCTGCTCTGAGTTCAGCCCCAGCACCGCAGCTGCTGCGCTCAGCCCAGCACTCACCCAGCTGCAGCAACGCGTACATGAGCCCAATCACCGACACTAGGAAGTAAATGACAAACACATTCTTCAGCTTCACCTTCATGGTGCCACTCTGGCCCCTGGGGAGATGGGGAGGGAGTGGCTGGTTATGGGGGTATCCTGCTGCAGCACTCCCCCCCCCCAAACTGCTACGGTGAGCACATCCAGGACATGCTGGGCACATGGACACGCACCTCTAGCACTGCAGTCCCCATCTCTGTACCATGGCCACCCTGGACCTCCTGCACCCGCCACCACTGGGAGTGTCTCCGGGCGGGGCTTACCATGTCTCTTGGTAGCCCCTGGCACGACTGGGCCCCCAGCCCTCACAAGAGCCTTCAATTCAGGCTGGGCAATGCAGCTGGAAGTGGATAAGGATTTGGAGCCATGTAAATCTCAGCCCCACCATGGCCACTGTGCCCACTGGAGGGAAAGGGGGACATGGCACCATCCCTGGGGAAATCACACCCTGGGAATGGGGAGGAGGATGGGGGATGTGCCACCGTCCCCGGGGATGGGGAGGGCGTGACACCATCCCCAGGGAGATTGCGCCACAGGGATGGGGGGGGAACGTGGCATTGTCCCTGGGAGATTGCACCACAGCGATGGGGGGGACGTGGCATCATCCCTGGGGAGATCACACCACGGGGATGTGGTGGGGGGATATGGCACCATTCCTGGGGAGATTGCGCTATGGGAATGGGAGGGACGTGCCACCATCCCTGGGAAGATCACGCCACGGGGATGGGGGAAAGGGACGTGGCACTGTCCCTGGGGAGATCACGCCACAGGGATGGAGTGGACAGGGGTGTGATGGAGTGGGAATTTTCTGTAATATTTTGTATGAATAGTGTGTGCATGCATCAGTTTCCCCTGCATGCTGCATTAAGTAGGTGCTGGGAAAAGGTTGTTTACTCTCTGCAGAGACCCAGGTGTTACTGATGCTGTCAGGGGGGTGGGACCCATGTCCCTGGAGGGTCCAAGATGACAATGGCCACTCCATTGCCCAGACATTTGGTACCTAGCAACTAAGGACCACGGATGGCCCTCCCCTCCGCAGGAAGCTAGCCATGCTTGTCGGGGAACAGGAACATAGGACTGAGGAGGGGCCAGGTGGATGGAAGCTGGAGACTCTCCTGAACTGGGACAAAAGAGGGGTCAGAATAAGGCTCTGGGCTGGCCAAGATGGACCATGCGGTAACTTTCTGTTCTCTGTGCTAAGCTAAGGACTAACAAACCCTTCTATTTTACAATGCTGGCTGAGTGCCCCCGCAGAAGTCTGAGGTGGGGCATTGCTCCCTAAGATTGTACAAGTCTCCTTCAGGAGGTCCATCCCAGTTGGACTGGCTGAACGGAGCTCACGGTGTGAAGCAAGGTGCTGATGGACCAGAGATCCAGCCTAGGAGGTGGTGAGGCCAAGTGGCTTATCCTGGAAGAAGAGTTGGGTCTGGCATGCTGCAGGGGTTTCCTCACAGAGGCAGTTCCAAAGCTTGGGCCATAGAACCAGACCTGTGGATCCAGGCCAGGAGGCTGTGGCCCCATCCCTGGGAAGACTGAACTATGGGACAGGGAGGTGGAGATGTGGCACTGTCCCTGGGAGATGGCACCATGGAGACGTGGGGTTGGACATGGGATATGGCACTGTCGTGGGGAGATCACACCATGGGGATGGGGGGCAGGGGACATGGCACTGTCCTGGGGACATCACAGCACGGGGACGGAGGAGGACAGGGAACATGGCACCGTCCCGGGGAGATCGCACCAGCGGGATGGGGGGGGGGGGGGGGGGGG